CCGTTACTGAACATCTTGATCAAAGATTCCATAGAAGAATCCTGGTTAAAGGGGGAAAAATGCAGAACAGAATTTCTAATTCTCATGGACTCTAGACTTTCTGGAACCATGGAGACTGGATGAACCCCTGAAACTATTGCCCTGAGATAACCTTTAAAATTTAAACCAAAAATATCCCCTAAAGTCATCTTAAAACAATAGTTTAGCTTAACTAGTAAAAAAAGGTCTGCTCTGAACATGATGCTTTTTTAAGAACGATATGGCATCAAATTGACAACAGCAACTTGAAAGATTAGATAGGAACCTTAGGGGGCAGTGAGTTTATGTTAATAAGGGAGGAACAACTCACAAAGGAGGGTGAGAATGGTTGCACAACTTGAAGAATGTAATCAGTGTCACTAAATTGTACATGTAGAAACTGTTGAATACCTGTGTGTTTTGCTGTGTATATTCTCAACAACAACAACAACAAAATAACTAAAATTTAGGGGAAAAAGGGATCATAAATTGTAGTAATGGCTATAAAGTAACACATACAAGGTAGGAAGACGAAGATAAGGGGATAGTAGCTGGCAGGGTTGATAGCGGCATTAGAGAAGGACATGGATTAGAGGTATTTTTTGAAGGTGTTTATTCTGGGTTTGGAGCCCTGGTGGCACAGTGGTTAAGAGCTTGTGGTTAAGACTGGCAGTTCAAATCCACCAGCCACTCCTTGGAAACCCTATAGGGCAGTTCTGCTCTGTCCTACAGGGTCGCTATGAGTCGAAATCGACTCGACGGCAACGAGTTTATTCTGGATTTGCAGCAAATAGGACTGAGAAGGAGCTGCCAGTGAGAGCAGGAACATCATGAGAGCCCAGGGCTGGGGTAGCCAAGAGAATAGGTGATTGATTGTTAATGATTGTATTGGTGATTGTGAGGAATTAGCTGGCAAAGTCCCCTTCTGCCTGGTTAGAGAATATACAGCTCTTAATGGGAAAAAGCTCAATGGAAGAAAGCCACCCACCATGGGCTCTCCTGGTTACTGGAACTGTGCCACTTGGGGGGTCCAGACTAGAAAGAACCAATCCCTGCCTGACACCTGTTCTCTTCTTTGAGTAGTTGTCAGAATGCATCCATCCATTCCAGTGCCTGGCCCAGGCAAGTGGGCGAATGTCTGAAGCCCTGAGCCACTCCTGGAGTCCCTGGCTGGTGCAAATGATTAAATGCATTTGACTGCTAACCAAAAGATTGGAAGTTTGAGTCCACCCAGAGGTGCTTTGGAAGAAAGGCCTGGTAATCTACATCTGAAAAATCAGCCACTGAATACCCTAAGGAGTACACATGGGGCCACCATGAGTCAGAATCCTCTCAACTGGTTTTGGAGCCTCCTCCAGTCCCTTTCATTTGGAAACACATTCTCTACTCGCTTCACCTCTCTGCCTCTCAGAAGGGCAGACATCCACTTGCCTGTCCTTGATGCTCTCTCAAGGATGGAAAAACCCGTTACTGAAAAATTACTGTCTGGGAATTCTTCGTTGTTTGGATGATTACTAAGCCACCAGCTCTGGTCACAGTCACTGGCTTACATCAGGGAGTCACCTGTGGGTGGCCTTGTTACCCTTGCACCACTTTGCACTTGAGAGAAAGTGGAGGATTTTTACCAACTTGAAGAGCAGCGGGTCCTAGGTACTGTTCACCCAGCACTGGGCAATCAAATGCCAATGCTGATGAGTAGGAGTACTGGGCATGCTCAAAAGAAGTCAGAAAGCACTTGGTTGATGTGTGCGTGTGCACCTTTTGTTTCCAATCAGACTCTATTCAATGGACTTATTATTAACCATGCTGTTGGGAAATTAGAATTCTCACACTGAAAGGGATTTTTTTTCCTGCTGATTTTGGAAACGGACTAATGTAGATGCCTAATGTCAGATATCAGCCTACTGCTGAAAGTTAGTTGGGCCATATTTACATATTAAAACTTCCTCTGTGTTCCTTTTGAGTTGTCCCTTTAAGTGCTCCTAGAATGCCTAAGTCTTTGGGGAGGGGGGCGTCCAGCTCTAGGAGAGCATTCCAAACAGAAGCGAACAACCAACGGCATGTAGGTGAGAAATCACAGGGCCTGGTTTGGTATTGCTAGAGCAGAGTTCCTGGCAGGAAGTGGTAAGAGGAGGTTGTAGAGGTAGGCAGGGACCCAATAATACAACCTACCATAACCACTAACTGGCTGTAAAAGCTTGAGGATTTACTTAACTTCTCTTTGCCATGATTGCCTCATCTGTAAAATGGGAAAATAGTATTAACTCTTAGGATTGTTAAGAGAATTTAATTAGTTCATGCATTGAAAGCACTTAGAACAGTGCCCAACACAGAGTAAACACTGTGTCTATGTAGGTGGATGGGATCATCTGGGGAGAGAGTGAAGAGTGGAAAAGGTGTTGGGCAGAAGAAGGAAACCTTGGAAGCCTACAACGGGGCAAAAGCACCGGGCAAGGGGTCTGCATGGGAAGCAAAGAAGGAACCATTGGGATGGAAGAGGAAAACCAGGAGGTTTTGAATTTCCAGTAGGAGGGGGTGTTGGAGTACCTATGGGTGTGTCTGGCTTGCGTGTCTTTGAACCTGAACCTTAGTTGAGCCCCCTTTTGGGCACCTTGATTTTGGAGGGTCTGCTTTACTCTACCAGTTCCTGATGATGTCACATCCGGCCATGTGCACAGCTGGCCCAGGCCACCTCAGAGCCATATCTTGGCCAACTCTCCTCTCCTGGCTCCCTCCTTCCCCTCTCCTCAGTCCTATTTTGCCCATTGTTGACATCTTGGTGAGAGAAATCTTCTTTTAATTAAAAAGACGTAAGATTGGCGACTTTTTTCCTCATGTCATTTTTATTACTATTGATGTATATTGTTCTACCCTAAAAAATGAAACTCTCTAAATCTGAATTTAAAAATCAAAGGTGGTTAGAGTTCATCTTTTGTTTACAGAACTTTGACTATTTGATAAGCCATTAGGGAAACTGACAGTTAAAATTCTATAATGGGAAACGAAGACAATGCATCTCCATGAAGGCAAAGTTGTTTTGTTGTTGTTGTTGCAATGATTATATTGGCACCCACTTTTTGAAGAACCTAAAGGGAGACAAGTCAGTCTGGATGATTTCTCCCCCCATCCCTTTTTTTTTTTGTTACTTCTAGACCTTGTCTGGCTAATCATCAGAGGCACACCATAGGACACAAAGCTGTGGCTCTTAGCTCTGCAAGGAAAAAGGCCCATGCACTTTGCTTTTTAGTTGATTTTATTTCTTCAAGAATTTTCTTACAAAGTGAATTCACCTTGCACAGTTAACTTGATGTAATCTTAAGAAAATATATGAAGTATGCTTTAGAAAAAATGACACACGCTCTAACCAGCCATCTTATTTGGCAAGCATTTTCCCACAGCTTTTGTCCTTTTGGGATGGGGAGGTGGGGCTATTTTTACATGTGAATGATATAATACAAGAGATCCAAACTCTTGCTGACCTCTCTTTGCGAACCCAGCTGGTACTGGGAGACAGCACAAGGAGGCAGGCTTCAGTTGTCCCAGGCTGTTTGGTCATCAGAAGTGTCACCCTCAGAAGCTCTGGTTGAGGTCCAGGCAGTCCACATACACAAACCTCACAGTTACTTCCACAACAACTGCATTTGTGGAACACATAACCAGTTGCCATCAAGTCATTCCGATTCACAGTGACTCCATTTGTTACAGAGTAGAGCTGCTCCACTGGGTTTTCTTGGCTGTAATCTTTATGAGAGCAGATTGCCTTTCTCGCGCAGGCCACTGGGTGGCTTTAAACTGCCAACCTGTAGGTTAATAGTTCAGTGCAAACCATATGCACCATAGGAGGGGCTAAAATGCATCCTGTGGCGGAAGAGGAACCGTTTTCTTTTTCCCATTGCAACCAGAGTTCTTTGAGAGCATGGGACACAGCAGCCAGAGCATCTTCCACTCCAGGGCTCCACATTTCTATGCCTTCACCCAGCAGCCCTAGTATTTAGCTCCCCATTCTCAGAACATAGGAGCCACTTTCCAGCCCTCAACTCAATAATGTGAGCATCTGATAGATTTTCAATCCAGAGATTGTGGATTTAGAAGGAATAACTGCTCCATTGCTCTGGGGCTCTGCTCAAAGGCCCAGCTTGAGGGCTGAATTGATTTTTGAAGAAGCAGGTGCTATCCTGGCTTCATTCCCACCCACCCAGTCAAGCTAGTGTGAACGGGCCTGTATGGGGACCACAGAGACCTACACCAAGCTATTTTTCTGACTGTCTTCTCCCAGTCAACCCTCATAAACCTGCCCATTTAACAGCCAATAAACTTGGAGACAGGGATGAGTTTCCTACTTGCAGCAGCAGAGTTTCTGTCCTCAGCCCTCCTTACACTGATTTTCCCTGGGGTTTTGGGACAACTAAGAGCGCCTTGGAGCCCTGGTTGGTGCAGTGGTTAAGAGCTTGGCTGCTAACCAAAAGGTCGGCAGTTCAAATCCACCAGCCGCTCCTTGGAAACCCTACTGGCAGTTCTACTCTGTCCTATGGGGTTGCTATGAGGTGGAATCGACTCGCGGCAACAGGTGTTTTTTAAGAGCCCCTAAAGCCTCCAATGTAGAGTGCAAAGAGGACAGGTGGTCCTGGGGGTCGGTGTCTCAGTCATTTCCTTTCTTCTGGAAGGTCTGTTTTCAGGAGACACCAGCTGGTCTCAAGGTGCCTCTCCCAGAAGGCGAGGTGGTGTCCAGACCTGGAGGAGGCCTGGCTGGTATAGGAAGAAGGTGGCAGGAGAGAGTGCTGGTGGCAGCCACAGGACCCTGAGAGGCCATGTCCCTGGAGCTATCCCCCAGATTCACTCAGGTGGGACCTCTGCTCGATTCTGAAGTCCTGGGGAAGGGGCCTCTAAGTCAGAGCAATGTCGAATAGAGATTTTCTGGGAAACTTCAGGGCCTCCAGGAATGCTGGGCATCTTCATATCCAGGAATGACTGTGATACATGGGGAGGCCGCTCTGGGGCGGGTAGGGAGAAGGTGAAGGTGGGATGGGGCTGGGGTAGTGGGTAGGAGGCTCAGTCCTCAGTCTTTTTTTGTCTCCATGGAGCATCTCACTCTGAACTTGGAGAGGCTGCAGAGTCACCATCCTCGGGGTCCTGCCCATGTGGGGAGATGGGCTGACCCCCCTTCACACGCTTCCACTTCATCCTCCGGTTCTGGAACCATACTTTGACCTGAGAGAGGAAGCAAAGGAGCCCAGTCACTCCAGGGCCGATGCAACACCTCCCCATGTCATGCCCAAGCTCACTAGGGTGCAGCTCCAGGGTCCCCAGCTTGAAACCTTCATTTGCCCCTCTCTACTCCCCAAAGGCCCAGGAACTGAGACCAAAGGGAGGACACCCAAATTGGCCCAGAGGCTTGTCTCCTGGTCTCCAGATAAACCCGATTCCCAGTCAGGCAAGCCGGTTCTAAAAGTCACCCTGCACTGGCTTCACCCCCTTTCACATGCCCCACCCCTTCCGTGCCAATACCCCCTCCCACCATTCCCCATTCTGCAAGTGTCGGGGAACAGAGGATCATCAGCCTCATCCTTTGTTGCTGTGTGCCATCGAGTGAATTCCGACTCATAGTGACGCTATATGACAGAGTAGAACTGCCCCACAGGGCTTCCTTTAGGCAGATTTATAAAGCATTTTCAGTTTAGATAGCTCTGGTCTGCACATTTCTGCACTTCAGTATTGCCTGCAGTCTGGGATTATGACCCCGTTGTACAGATGGAGACCCAGAGAGGTCAAGGGACAGGTCCCAGAGGTCACAAAGCTAGGAAGTAGTAGAGGCAGGATCTGCATCTAAGTCTTCTGATTCTAAATCCAGCACTCTGGTAAAGTGCTTTATAGACTGAAAGTTGCTACCAATATCAGAGCCTAAAATAAAGGGTCCAAGGAGGTTTCCTCCAAGTGTGCCCAGGAACTATCTGCACAGCTGAATCACCTGGAGAACTTACTAGAAATGCCGATTCCCAGCCCCACTCAATCTTACTGTAGAATTGCCCTCCGGAGCTGGGGCTCCAGAATCTTCATGCAAAACAAGCCTCTCAGGTGATTCCAATGCACACTCAAGCCTGGGAACAGCCATACAGCGTTCAAGGCTGGCTGCACCGGGGAGGGGGGGGGGCAGGGCTTTGCAAAATTCTGATGGCTGGACTGTACCCCAGACCAATAAACAATGTCTAGGGGTGGAGCCGGGGCATTGGTGTTATTAAAATCTCCCAGGTGATTCTCGCCTATGGACACAGTTGAGAACCACTGGACTGGCGAGAGGTAGATGATAAAGAAGAAGGTTCAGCAGGGGTGGTGGGAAAGAGGAAAGGGAGGAGGCCGAAGGAACAGAGGAAAGGAAAGATGCTCGAGAAGAGGAGGTGGCGCCTGCGCCGCACCTGCCGCTCGGAGAGGTCCAGGTTCACCGCGATCTCGTATCTCCGGAGCCGCGTCAGGTAGTTGCGGTGCGCAAACTCGGCCTCCAGCTCCCGCAGCTGCTCCTTGGTGAAGGCCGTCCTCTCCTTGCGGGCCTTGCTGCCGCCTTCCGGTTTCCCTCGGTTCTCCTGGTTGTCTGGGGAGAGAGGGCCAGACCAGGAAGCTATGAGCCAGAGTCGCCTCGGTTCCCTTTCTTTTGCCCTTTCTCTATTATTTCTAAAGGATTCCGAGAAAGAAGCTACACTGCCCCCTCGTCATTCCTTCTAGTGTCTTAGCCCCCTGAGAACTGGAAAGTTTTTTTTTTGCTCCCAGCCTCAGGTGCCTTCCCCCGCCCTCCCTTTTTTTTTTTATTCCTGAAGCTCATGAAGCTGCCTTTGGCTATTCAATGATCTCCATCGCCCCGCGCATGACAATATTAGTGACTGAAAGCTTGTGGGGTGAGATGCTCTAAGGCAGAGAGGTTCTTGAAGCGTGGTCCAGCAGCATCAGCTTCACCTGAGAACTTGTTAGAAATGCAAATCTTCGACCCCACCCCAGTGTAACAAGCTCTCCAGGGGGATCTGACACCTGGTCAAGGTTGCTCTAAGTGTGATCCGCTGCTGGCAGCATCGCCAGGAGCTGGTCACATGTGCCCTACCACTACTGAATCATAATCTGCATTTTAGCAAAACCCCAGGGGATTCGTGTGCACGTGGAAATTAAGAAGTGAGGCTGTAAGCTTCTTTCCCTCTTTGACACTAGGAGGGGCCAAGTCTGGAAATTCTGTCCAGACCCCTGTGAAGGAGGCCCCAGGTTAGACACAGTGGGAAGGGGGGCACAATTATAACAGCTAACAGGGGTCCAGAGGAACAGACTCTGTGCCAGGCGTTGTACCGAACACCTTATCAGTACAGCATCAGTTGCCATCAAATATTCTACTCGTGGTGACCCCATGTGTATCAGAGTAGAACTGCCCTCCATAGGGTTTTCAAGGCTGTGATCTTTCAGAAGCAGATTGCCAGGCCTTTCTTCCGAGGTGTCTCTGGGTGGATTCAAACTGCCAATCTTTCAGTCAGTAGAGAAGCACTTAACCATTCGTGCCACCCTTACATCCTCATACTAACGCAGAAGGGTGAGTTCTAGTATCATCTCCATTTTACAGACCATAAAACTAAACATAGAGAATTTAAGCAAGTTGTGCAAGTTCAGTTCATCCAGCCAGGAATCAAACCCAGGCAGTTTGACTCACATACTGGTCAAATGAAAAATATGTAGGAAGTTTTTTGCAAATTGTAAAGTGCTGTACAAACGAAAGGGACTGTTACGGTTATCTTATGGGCAGTGTTAAGAGGCGACTCTACCGTCACTTTAATGGTGGTGGAGGGACTCACAGGAAGGAAAGATAGGCACCTACACAATTAGCTAACAATGCATGCCACGTGTTCAGTGAATGGCTACAAGAACCTCTTCTTTTCCTGCTGGGCTTTAACATTTAGAAGTCTTTCGCCCCGACGTCTTCTTTCGCAGACAAGGAGATCACGGCTCAGGGCTCACGTTTTACCCAAAGTCACACACCTGCACGCCGAAAGCTGCGCCCTACGCCCTGCTCCCTCGAAGACCTCACTCCCACCCTGCAGCGTGTGTGCGGGGGCGGGAGGGTCTCAGCTGGCGTGGAGGGCTAGGCGGGGGATTTAGACCGGTAGTGCAGGGGAAGAAAGCCGCCCACACTCGTGGCCCAGCTGCCAAGTTGCGGGGGCCGGGGAAGATGTAAAAACCTCGCATTAACCCTCCGTTCCAATTTGGAACTGTGAGCCTGGCTAGCTCCCTTCTCAACGCTTCCTTCTCCTGCTTTTCTTTCAATCTCTTTGTATTGCAGTTCCGGCGTCCTCCGCCCCCGTGCCACGCGGCCCCGGGGCCGGGAGGAGGGCCGGGGGAGGGCGGAGAGGTGCGCTGTAAAGCGATTTGTGCGCGGGTCGAGGGCCATCTCGCCGCTGCGCGCCCGCCCGGCGCCCTGGAAAGACGAGTGGGCGCGTCTCCCCCCGCCCCGCCGTCCCGAGAAGGCGGAAGAGGGACGCTCCCCGGGGACTCCCGAGCTGCGGGGCACCAGACAGGCCGAAGGGCTCCCTGCAGCCCCGGTGCCGGAGTTGGGGGAGTGTCCCTGCGCCTGGCCTGGGTCGGTGTCTGCGGGGCGCGCCCCCGTCCCCGGCTGCCTGCCGGGTGGCCTCTGGCTCCCGGCCGGAGAAGCAGGCTTAGACCCCTCCGGAAGGGAGCGTGGGCTGGAGGGGAAGGACGCGCAGCCCCGGGCCGGGGTCCCGGAGGAGTCCTCCGGCCTTGGCCGCCGCCAGCGCCGCGCCCCCTCCGGGCCGCGGGCCGGGGAGGGGCGGTCACGCAGCGGATGCGCGGCCTTCCCGGAGCCTACCGGCCGGAGAGTGAGGCCAGGAAACCCGGGCCACGGCTCAGACCCCGGGTGGAGTCGGTGGCTCATTTCACAATCCCCTCGGGCCCCGGGGCTCAAAGTGTTCCCACCCTTCCGTGTAACGGAGGGGAGTGTAAAGTCCAGGGGACCTGCCCCGAGGTTTGAAGCCTGAATCTCTTGCTGGGGACTTTGAAGATGTCCCTTAACCTCTCTGGGTCTCAGTCAACCCATCAGGAAATTGGGGAAAATAACGCACCTACCTCACAGGGTTATTGAGTAGACAAATACTGTGTGAGAAGTGCTTAAAAAATCATAAAGCACTGGATAAATAGTTTTCTTCCAATTCGTCTACTCCACGAAATGCCTTTTGAAGGGCTGGGATAACAGCAGGCATTTCGGGAAGGCTTCTATGTGCTATGGCTGCTAACCAAACGGTCGCCAGTTCGAGTCCACCCGGCGCTCCTTAGAAACCCTATGGGACAGTTCTACCGTGTCCTGTAGGGTCGCTATGAGTCGGAATCGACGGGCAGTGGGTTTGGTTTTTTGTTTTTTTTCTATGTGCTTGAGGAATTCACTTCCTTAATCCTCGCCACGCTTGCGAGTAGGCCCTATCGATGTTCTGCGTAGCATTGTTACGGAGTCCCGGGGTAGTGCAAACCGTTAACCCGGTTCACATGATTAGGCCGAAAACAAAAAGATCGGTGGGTGGAGTCCACCCAGAGGTAGCTGCGAAGAAAGTCCTGGCCATCTATTTCCGAAAAATGAGCCTTTGAAAACCTATGGAGCACAGTTGTATTCTGACACACACGGGATCCAGGTTGAGCCTTAACTGATTCCACAGCAGCTGGTTAGCATTATTCTGTTGATCTATGTGATTATTTGATTGGTAGCACTCTCCCCAGGGATGTGGCTGTTTTTTCTCACCCATCTAGCCCCTAGTTGCTCCTGTTCCTGGCGGGTAGGAGGTACTTGGTAAATATTTCCTAAATCCTCTTCAGTTTACAGAGGAGGTAGCAGGCTTAGAGAGGCCAGGAACTTGCCCAGCGTGCCCTGCAGCTTTTAGGTGGCAGAGCTGGTATTTGAACCCAGCTTACCTGACTCTAGAGCAGTAGCACTCAGTGCTGGAGTCCGGTTCCCTGTCTTCTATCTGGCTGGCTAGGCCTGGACCTGGCAGCCCTGCTTGTCTCCACGTCCAGGGTTCCTGGGGTCACTGACCTGGGTTTCAGCCTACACCTACCCTGCCCTTCTCCCAGGCATGCCTAGATGTGCATAGGTGTCCCATGGAGACCCCCACCAACGACTCTCCTCGCTCACCCACAGTTCTGCACATAATCTTCCCGAGAAAGAAGAGGAGAGAGAGGGAGAGGACCCCTCGGAGCTGATCTTGGTCTGGCTGTGTGGGTAGGTGACCCCTGTTAACCAAGATGAGCCCCCTCCCCACTCACCTCTCCCACCTCGCCCACCTCTTAGCCTCCACCTGTTACTGATTGTTCTGATTTAGGAACTGTCAGCCTCAGGATGGGAATGAAGAGGACACAGAAAGAAGCCTGAACCTTGGGGCCACACCCATCCATGGTGGGGTGGGATACTGGCACAGGGAGGACCCTGCTCCCTCATTAACTTCCTGGAGGGGACAAACTTCCATCACTGTTAGAAATGGTAAAAGGCCCAGAAGTACCGGAAGCTAACCGAAAACTAGAGAGCAAGTTAGGGTTCTCTTTGTTCGGCAACATATAAAAAATGGCAACATTTTTCATCAAAATAGAAAAACTATGAGCACTTGGTGCCATTTCTGGCCAGGAGATGTTCGGCCTGCCAGGTCACCAAAGTGCTACTTCACGTGCACAGCAAGTAGCCCGCTCCCCGCAAGACGGTTTGGTCTCAGTAGAGCAGCTCTTTGTTGGGGAGTCTCCCTCGCTCTCTGGGCCTCAGTTTCCCCATGTGTAAAAAGCATGGGACTGGGCTGAATCTTCTTTCATCTAGGAAACCAGTGTCAGAGTTTTCTCAATAGACAAGCTCAGTGTCCTGACACCCTCTTGTCCTTTCCCTACCCCCTCTCCTGTTGAGAACCCCTGACCTTGATGATCTCTGAGGCCTCTTCAGCTTCAGACATCTTGTCCTGACCCCTAATTCCTCCTTTTAGTCAAATCTGGAGACTCACTCCTATGTCCTGTCCTAAGGAGGCCCTCCCTAACCTTCCCAAAGTCTTCAACCCAAAGATTGTGGCTGTTGGGGGCTGGGAGAAGGTGTCAGGAGGGGTTCTCTCTCCTTCCAACATGGAAAGCTCCCTGGCCAGAGCTGAGTGGAGGGGAGTTGTTTGTCTGGGGACCCTTTGCAGAGCTTGCCTAGGCATTAACGCCTGGCAGATGCGGGGTGCAAGGAAGAGCTTTCTGACCTTGGGCAAGTCCCTTAAGTTCTCTAAGCCCCAGTTTCCTCATATGTAAAATGAGAATAGCTATATACATAAGGTCGCCATGAGTTGGAGCTGACTCAGTGGCTGCTAGTAAGATCAACAATATACCCACTGTGATCCTAAGACTGTTGAGAAAGTAAAACGAGATTGACACTGTGTTTTAACCCTTAGCAGTGTAGCACAGTGCCTAGACCTGCTGCTGAGACTCAATTGGAAAGAACTGTCTTAAGAGGTTCTATTGGAGACGATGCTGGAGAGATGGTTCGTGGGTGCAGGCTAGATAAGATGGTCTTTAAGACGCCACATCTTAAGGACAGAGCAAAAGGGG